TGAAAGTATGACAGTTTTGTGTCTCCTGTCTCTCCTTGGGGGGTTTGTCACTCTGTAATTCACTCTGTAATGAGTTCAAAAAAGTTATGATTTTGTAGGCTTTCTAGCCTTTTATTATTACTGAGTTTGGAGTGACATTCTCTTTCAGATATCCATATCCTAGACAGAACTGCAGAAATGGACCTGCAAAAGTAATATTTTTTTAACTTTTTAAAAAATAATTTAAAAATTTTTAATCGTAGTTGGCATATGATATTAGTTTCAGGTGTACAACATAGTGATTCAACATGTATATTGCTTACAAAGTGATCACCCTGATAAATCTAGTACCCACCTGATACCATACATAGTTATTACAATATTATTGACTATATTCCTTGTGCTATACATAATATCCCATAACTATTTTGTAACTACCATTTGTATTTCTTAATCCCTTCCCCTTTTCCACCCATACTGCCAACCCCGCTCTCATCTGGCAACCATCAGAATGTTCTCTGTAACTATAAGTTTGTTTTGTTTTATTCTTTATGTTCCACAGGTAGGTGAAATCATATGGCACTTGTCTTTCTGTCTGACTTACTCCACTCAGCAAAATATTCTCGAGGTCTACCCATGTTGTTGCAAATGGCAAGATGTCATTCTTTTTTTTTATGGCTGAGTGATATTCCACTCTATATATGTACCATCTCTTCTTTATGTACGCATCCATGATGGACACCCAGGTATCCTCTTTATCTTGACTATTGTAAACAATGCTGCAATAAACATATGGATTCACATGTTCCTTTGAAGTAGTGTTTTGGGTTTCTTTGGATAAATACCCAGAGGTGGGATAACTGGGTCTTTCTTTGTCTCTTGTTAAAGCCTTTGTTTTAGAGTCTATTTTGTCTGGTACAAGTATTGCTTTCTTGTTCCTATTTTCATGAAATAGCTTTTTCCATTCCTTCACTTTTATTCAGTCTTTGTGTCTCTTTTGATCCAAGTGATTCTCTTGTATACAGCATAAAAGTAAAGCTCTTGTTTTTTTTATCTATTCAGCCACACTTTCTTTTAAAGTTAGAGTGTTTACTCCATTAACATTTAAAATAATTGTTGATGAATACGTAGTTATTGAAATTTTATTATTCATATTTTTTATCTTTTTTTCTTTTTTCTTCTGCTTCTTAAAGAAGTCCCTCCAACATTTCCTGTATTACTGGCTTGGTGGTGATGAACTCCTTTAGCTTTTTTGTTTGTTTGTTTGAGAAACACCTTATTTGTCCTTTGATTCTAAGTAATAGCTTTGCTGAGTGGAGTGATCTTGGTTGTAGGTCCTTGCTTTTTATATCACTTTGAACATTTCATGCCAGTTTCTTCTAGCCTACAAAGTTTCTGTTGAGAAATCAGCTGACAGTCTTATGGGCACTTCCTCGTAGGTAACTGATTGCCTTTATCTTGCTGCTTTTAAGATTCTCTCTTTTTCTTTAACCTTTAGCATTTTAATTGTGATGTGTCTTGGTGTGTGGACCTCTTTGGGTTCATCTTGTTTTGGACTCTCTGTGCTTCCTGGCCTTGTATACCTATTTCCTTCGCCGGTTAGGGAAGTTTTCTGTCATGATTTCTTCAAATAAGTTTTCAATTCCTTGCTCTCTCTCTTCTCTTTCTGATACCCCTCTGATACAAATGCTGGTACACTTAATGTTGGACCCAGAAGCTCCTTAAACTATCCTCGTTTTTTTAGGGGGGGGGATTCTTTTTTCTTGTTGCTGTTTTTAATTGGGTGTTTTCTGCTACCTTATCTTCCAAATTGCTGATCCGAACTTCTGCTTCATCTAATCTACTGTTGATTTCTCCCAAGGTATTCTTTATTTCAGTTATTGTTTTCTTCATTTCTGGCTGGTGCTTTTTGATGTTTTCTACCTCCATTTTATGTTTCCTATTTCTTTGTTAAAGTTATCACTAAGTTCATCTACCCTTCCCCTAAGTTCATTGAATATTCTTATAACCAGTGTTTTGAATTCTGAATCTGGCAGGCTACTTGTCCCCATTTTATTTAATTTTTCTCCTGGAGCATTGTTCTGTTCTGTCATTTGGAACATTTCTTTGTTTCCCCACTTTGGCTGCCTCTCTGTGTTTGTTTCTTTGTATTAGGTAGAGCTGCTTTATCTTCCAGTTTTAGTAGAGTGGCTTTGTATAGTAGGTGTCCTCTGGGGCCCAGTGGCACAATCTTCCCTGGTCACCGGAGCCAGGTGCTCCGGGTATGTCACTTGTATGGATTGTTTGTGTCCGTCTGTTGTAGTTGAGCCTTGTTTGCTGTTTGCACATCAATGAGAAGGACTGACCCTCAGGCTGATTGATTGTGAGGACTGGCCGTGACTACAGTGGTGAAGTTGTTGTGCAGGGGCTGACCCTATGAAGTAGGATTCACTTTAGCAGGACTCTGGTGCCTG